CTCGGAAGAGCAACTTGTAGATATCTTCACCAAAGGTCTTCATCATGTGCGGCACAAAGATTTGTGTGACAAGTTGGGCATGATTGACATCTATGCTCCAACTTGAGGGGGAGTGTTAGAATAATGTTAAAATAACTTAGTTGCAGATGTTAGGGCCTGTTTGGCTAATTAAAGTGTTTTTTTTTTATTTCTGTTATGTCTGTTATTGTACTCAGGGGCACAAGGGTCTTTTCCCTTGTTATTTCTGTTATGTCTGTTATTGAAATTGACCGACACTTTGTGAGAGAGAATTGTCTCAGGTGAACTTTGCATTCCTTACACACCCCTAGATAGGCAAATTGTTGATGTTTTGACAAAATGCCCGTATTAAGTGAAGTTCCTTGGCTTACTTGGCAAGCTAAACATGATTGACATCCATTCTTAGCATGAGGGCGAGTGTTGGGCCTAGTGATTAAGTGTTGGTGGGTTCATTTAACATTCTATGTTTTAGTTTCATATTCTGTTATGGGCCTGAACTGGTTCTATTTTTGTACTGTCTAGTTGTCCCATCACTAATCTAGGGCACTCTAGTCTTTTTATTGTAACATTTTAATGTCAATATATATTTATATATATATATATATATATTAGTTTTTAGGGCTGATTGAGAAGTCATTGCCGCCTATACTTTGCTGTCTTCTCTTCTCTTCTCTTCTTGCTCTTCTACTTCACCATAGCAAGCAGGGAGGACTTCATCCTTGATATACGATGACTTAAATAGTTGGGCCTGGTTCAATGTGATTTGAACCAATTGAATATGGATCTTGTGATGAATTATGAAGAGGTCCACATACAAGGTTTAAAACCCGAGGAAAGCACACAGACGAGTGTAGGTTCAGTCACTAAGGCCCAGCCTACCTTGATGCTCATTGGGCCCCAACAGACCAGCCCCATCTTAGAGATCAATGGTAGAACACCATTTTTTATTAGTTGCTGGTTGTGTATGTGGAGTTCCATACTTGCATGTTATTTCCAGTTTGGTCTTTCTGAGTTTCATGTATTCTCCCTCCCCTTTTGATATTTAATGGAAATTTCTTTAGTAGTTAGCAAAAAGCATAATCATGGGCCTTGAGTCACACCTTTCTTCAATCTCTGCATTGTCAAAGAGAGAACTATGAAGTTCCTCAAGTAAACCTGAAATCATCTGGTAGCAATTGAGCTCTCTTATTTTTATTTTCATTATTTGCAGAAACCATGGAAAGTTGAGTCTGGAGTTTTCTAGTAATGTATATTTTACTTCCAGAGAAGCTTTATCACCTGTATATGTTAATCCATGCTTCTTTTTCTTCTCATGCTATAATGTGCTGAGTTTGAAACATTAACTTGGAACTGCACTTCATTCTTTGTCATAATCATTGTTGGTAATTTGTAGGTTTTCTTGCACAAAATTTTAAGATATAAGAGTCAACTGGCTATTGGAAATACTTTTAAGGGAGAGCCAACCCATTAGAAAAAAATATCAGTTTCACCTTGGTATTATTAGGTTCTCTCAAATTTTATTTCCTAGTCTAACATCTAGTATTGAATTTCCATGTTATTTCTATTTCTTTGTCAGAGCTCAAGAGCTGGAAACTGCAGTCATGGAGATGGTCAAGCAGGATAATTGTTGACAAATGAGTGCAAGGGTACATCTGAATCACAATAGACTATCTGCTTGTTATGCCAGTTGTCATGTTAAATATGAAAGAAACACATGTTTTTGTAGGACTGTTCACGGTGTGGTTCAAGTCAGTTTAACTCAAATTTTCGGAGTGAAGTTTTTGGGTTGGATTTTAATCCAACAGAAACCAACCAATAAAAGAAAGAACCGAATTTGAAATTGAATGTTGATTGACAGACTGCTTAATCGGTTTGTGTTCCTTTGCATTTGTGTTGAATTTGCCCCAATGTTATGGATTGGGCTTCACATTTTTCTGGGTTTTAAAGTTAACCAATCAAGGTTTATATATGTAGCAATGAACAGCTCATCTAACAATGTTTGGGTTCAAGTTTTATTACCTTTATTTGCTTGGTAGTTGATATGAAGTTTACAAATGCAATAGATAAATAGAAAATTACACCACTGATTTTTCTTTGGGATATGGATAGTGTTGGAATGTTAATTTTATTTCTTATGTTTGTATTCTGCTGAGTTAGGGTCCGTTTGGACTAGTTAAAGTAGTTTTTTTTCTTTGTTTTTTGTACTGTAACTTAAGTAGGGGCATAAGGGTCCTTTCCCTTTTAATTATGGTCACCCTATATATATATTAATATAAACTGGTGCCGCCAGCCATAGTGGTTGACTCCAAAACACTCTCTTCTCTCCTCTCTTTCTCTTCTCTTCTTCTTCCTCTCTTCTCCTCTATTCTGCTGTTAATAGATAGATTGTAATGGGAAAACCAGATTCATGTAGCAGATTCAATAGAGTTGGGTATGGCTTTGTTGATTTGAGCTGTTGATAAGAAAACTATGTGGAGTGTTTTTTGTTGTATTTATTTATTTCTTTGGTGGGGGTGGGGGTGGGGGAGCATATCTGTTAAAAAATTAATCATTCAGAAACATTTTAGATTGGGGAGTGATGGAGGTATGTGGATGGGAGAAGAATGCCAACTCCACAAGGAGAGGTTAGGCTATCCCTTTCATTCTTGAAAGGTAGTTGAACTATTTGGTTGAAGGTTTCATATCTATTTGTGAAAACATTTCGTGCTAATGTTTTATAACGTAGATGTGTGAGGCACTCACAACCAGAACACTATAGGGTGTAAGCATCCTGATAAAAAATAAAAATGCAGTAAATATCCCATAAAATATGAAAATTGATGAGAAATTAGAAATTTTCATATTTACAATTTCTAATAATAATATCATCACAATTAAATGTACAAATGAAGAATCGTCATCATAATTATACAAGTTCATCAGATATTAGTGTAGCACTTGCAAAGTGCGGCCATTTTATGGTAATAGAATGCCAACGATTAGGACTGCAGCCAATCAACCCCTCCCAAGACCCCAGATAGCTGGAACCAACACTTGGTAATTGCCTTCTCTAATAGTTTTCTTGTCAACTTTTCTTCTGTATATGTTCTATTAAGAGCTTAAATTTCACTCTTTAGTTCATTCTTCTTTTGCATGTATGTATGTGTGGAAGGGGACAGTTTTCTCTACTTTGCAAACCTATGTCAATTGTCTTGCTTATAAAATTTTTGAAAATTTCTTTTCTCATACAGGTGGAGCAGTTGGAGAAAGAGATAGCAGAGCTACGGCAGGCCCTATCAGATAAACAGGAATAAGAGTGTTCCATGCTTCAGGTTTCATTTCTTCTGAGTTTTATCTTTCATCCATTTGGTGAAGGTGGTTCTTAGTTACTGGAAAAACAAGCAAAGTGAACCCAAGATGCTCAGCATTGTTTGTCCCTCTTAACTTTATCTTTTTTAATGCCCACTTCTTGTTTGTTGAGATTGAATGACAATGTTTGCCAACTGTTCCCTTCTGTGTTCCTTTTGAAATTTCCTCATGGTTTCCTGGTTTCTCAAAAGATGAAAACCTCTCATGATGATGGATTTTCTCTGAGGTGTTGCCTAAAATACTTCCAAGAAAAAATGTAGTTCCAAGTGTTTAATACTTGTTTCCTTGTCTGCCAACTTTTTGATATTCTTTTATGTTATTGTTCCTTGTCCTGGCTAGTTCTAGCCAAGACATGGGATTAAATCCTGACTCCACCAGGGATTGGGAGGTTTCAGTTGGGGGAGCGCTACCCCCATTCTGTATCCTATTTGCATACCAAAAATATGTTATTGTTTCCTTGTTCCGCACTAAAACTCACTGGAAAAGTGTACCTCTATCATGATAGTGTACAATCTGATCCAATGTTACTATAGGTCCTAATGCGGGTGAGCAAGAGCAAATGGTAACAGAGGATGCTCGCAGATTAGCGGAATAAGATGCAGCTACTCGGAGATATGCTGCCAACGTGCTTCAGGTTCTTTCTTGTTTCTAATATACTGGCTCATTTTAGACGAAGTGATTCATTTCAGTTGAAATAATTCAGTTGGGGATGTAACTAAATTTAGTAGAACATGAAGAGATTCTCTCTTATTTCAAGGGTTTGGATTTTATAATAGCATTCAGCCCCATGGGATCCATCTCAAAACAGTGCTTTGAGCTCTCAAAGAAGTTTATTGTTTATCAATAATAGCTTCCAAGTGCTTTTCTCTAAGCCATTGCTCCATCCACTGTCTTCAATAGACCTTTTTAATCATTAACCACTTTGTGGAGGGAGACTCAAAGCTGGTAACCCACTGGTTACAAGGAGAGGAGATGGAAATGTGTCTCTTCAACAATAAAAATAAAAGAATCAAGTGGCTAACCTAAGACATGAAGCCAAGGGGTGGGAAGAGATAAGAGATTTTGGGGTGGATTGTAAATTCTGGGGTTGGGAGAGATGTAAATTCTGTAGCTGATGCATTAGCTAAACAAAGGGTGGGGGGACATTCTTTGTTCTCGGCACAAATGTAAAGGTTTTTGGGGTGGGTTGGGGAGAGATAAGAGATTTTGTCTCACACAATCTTTGCTCTATACCTCCTTGTATTTTTACTTTCTACTTCTTGCATATTCTAATGAAATCTTCAAGTTATTGATAAAAAAAAAAGTTTCGTCTAGGTGACAGCACTGATATTGAATGGGGAAGAGAAGTCCTACTACGGTGTTCGTGGTGGGCAGGAAATAATTTAGATATGACATGTTTGGAAGGGGTAGATCTCCTACCACTCCCAGGGTCTCTTGTATATCATTCTATTTTCCTCTTTTAATAAACCTTTGAGTTAGTTATTAAAAAAAAAGGAAAGAAAGAGAAGAAAAAGATGCTGCACCTGCAGGGGACAGACTTGGAGCAAGCTCCCATAACCACAATTTACGAAATTAAGTTTTATTCATTAACTTGTTGGCAATGCCACTTGAAGCTTTAGTGAGATGGATTCATGCATAGTGGTTCTTCTAGCAACCACTTGGGCTTCTCCTTTTCAATCACCAGAGATACTATGCTCTCAGATGATATCTCAGATATTGGAGATTGAACAACATAAAACACAGCAAGTCTCTTCCTAGCTAGTACTACTGTTTTAACTATACTCTTGTTAGAAAATGTTACTTTCTTCTTAACTAAATAATGTGTGAGCTAACATAATTTGAATTGAACAATAAAAAAACTGGGCTAAGTGCTCAGTTAATTCTAGTGCTTCCACTACTACTATTTTCTTTTTTTCCTTGCTGGTGGAGATACTTACTGGGAGCCAATTTGCACTGAAAATTGCATGCAACACCAGATGGGAATGCAGTAGATGGCTTCCCTTTATCGTATGAGGAGGATAAAAAATCTTGCAGTTGGAAGAAAATTGAGACTGTACCTACTTTGCCATATTTCTGAAGGTAATGTTTTGTAATACTATAAAGATGGGTTCCTTTTGTTTAGCTGAAAATTTTCAAGTTGTTTCAAATTCTGTAGCTTTGGAATGTAATAAGAATTGGCATAACTTCCATGGCTATTATCTGTAGTTCCAGGATGTCAATACAAGGTACTTATGAACAAGAGAAGGAGCTCAGATGCTGAGAAGTACATACACTATGGGATTACGGGTTCAGTACAACTGGAAGAGGTCCTTGCTCTGATGGGACCCTCAGGTGGTGGTAAAACGACTTAATCTCCTCAGTGGAAGGGTGACAGGTACGTATATGCTTAGTTTTGATATCTAAAAAACTTTACATACATACATACATGATACATGTATGAATGGATGGATGCATGCATTGATTTCTAGTCATGCATACTTGGGGTGCATGTAAAATGATAAAAGTGCCTGACCAGACAATCATGGAATTTAATGTATCCATATATGGTTTGTGTCAAACTATATATGAGATGTCTCTCAAAAAAAAAAAAAAAACTATATATGAGATGAAATTGCCAAGTCACAATCCAGTAATTACTGAGAGATTGAATGGTATACATGAACAGGATTGGTTTTGTGATGCAAGATGATGATGTTTTTCCTCACCTCACAGTAAAAGAGACTCTAACATATGCTTCTCTTCTACGTCTTCCCAAAGCACTTACCAAACAACAGAAAGAAGAAAGAGCCATGAATGTTCTAACTTCTAAGAGAACTCGACCTTGAACGGTGACTTCTCAACTTTGTCTGTTAAGATTAATGTGGTATTAGGTAAAAGTTCATTAGTTGCAGAATTCATTTATTGATATGAGAATGCTAAATTATGATGCCTCCACAAATGCCTTGTTTTTATACATTTTTTATGGACATCTCATTGACTTTACAGTTTACATTCTCTAACAATTTATATGTTAGAGAATATGTGTTACAATATTCGATGTGGATTTGTTGCACGTCCATAATGGTTGCAGGTCCAACCATTATGTTAGGTGGATTTGCATTGAAATATGTGTTACAATATTTGAGAAATTGAATTTTTTGAAGTCCTTGTATTTTTTATATGTCAAATGGATATTGTATCTAGATCTGATCTGGCGGTTCAGACCACCGCCCAAAGAACCAGAAGATGTTGGGCAAAACCTAATTTGGCAGTTAACTAGGATTAAAACCGTTTTTCTTATAGTGAATATTCTGAGTTTAATTGCACCTCTGAAGTTTCGGTCAGCCTGTTTCAGTGTATGTGTGATCTGTTTTACACGTATGTAAGACATTTGTCACAAACTGAACAGAACAATTGTAGATCGCATGTCCAACAATCCTCGTAGCAGTTTCAGTCGTTAATTGAAAGATCTCTATCTTGTCATTCATAGAGATATGTTGGTCTGAGGAGCAAAACTGTTTCGGCGAGTATGGATTCAGCCCACACAAAACTGTCCTTACACCGTATTCATAGCCTTTTTGTAGCAGTGCATCGGGAATGACTCCGGATCTCTTGCCCGCAGGAACTCTGCTCACAAGTCACATCTACCCACAACATATCACCTCCATGCATTTGGAACATCTTATATAGGAGGATGAGATGTTCCCACTTCTGGCTATAATGTTATGTGGGTAGACGTAGACAGTTCTTATGTGCAGGAGATCTGAATTCATTGAAAAAACTTAGTATTTATATGTTTAGATTGGAAGGGAGATATTCCCAATGCAAAGCTAGTAAGTTGCTGTGACTTTGTGAGCAGTGTGAAAGCGGTTCTACGAGTACTTAATCTGAATTCCTAGGAGGCGAGGGGTCTTTGTCTATAGACGCTCACAGGGCGGTCATCAACCCTAAGTAACTATATTTTTCAGAAATTTAAAATATCAGTTTGGAAAGAGTAGAATTTTACAGATATATACCGTGAAAATACAAGGTTTAGAAATAAGGAATGCATCACCTGAACAACTGTAAACTTTTTGGAAAGCATTTTTGTTTATGGATGCTTTCCAACAAAGGACAAAGCCCTTAATGATATCTGATTATGGTTTTGTTGGATTGTAAGGCACTCTCCTAATGAATAAAAGTATTAAAACCCACAAACTTCTCACTGAATTGAATCATGATGATTCAAATAAAGCAAAAGACGAGTTGAATCCAATTAGCATCTTACTATTCAACCTTTAACATGAATTCACAAGATATATATAAGAGAGAGAGAGATCTTACAAACACTTCTCAGTGTTTCAACAACTCTCGTTACACGAAAATTTGAAAAGTAGAATATGGATTAGCCATTTTGGAATTGGGATTTGTCGAAGAATCCCTTTATTGTATATAAAGAAAACTAGAAAAGTGAAAGTATAAAAGCTAAAGCTTAGCTAAAACGGAGGTGGAGGACCTGGTGGCCTCCGAGGAGGTGGAGGGGCGAACGGATCCAAGTGTGGCGGAGGAGGATGTGGTCCCGGTGGTGGTGGTGGACCGAAGGGACCTGGCGGACCTGGTGGTGGCGGAGGACCCTGAGGACCTGGTGGTGGTGGTGGAGACGGCCCGGCTGGCCCTGGAGGTGGCGGTGGTGGTGCAAAAGGAGCAGGTGGTGGAGGGTGTCGATGATGGGCCATGATAAAGAGGGGGTGCAAAAATGCTTCTGGGAAGATGAAAGCAAGCTGCAAGCGTGGGAAAAGGTGAGTGTGGAATGTCACGGCACGGAAGGCTACAAAAACTAAACCTCTCTTTATAAGAGGATCCAACGGAAGATTGTAGAATGCCCGAGGCTATGACTCGTAGGTGACGAGTGACGACGACTGGTAGCTAAAATGTTAAAAAACGTGTTCGTCTCTGTTTTGGAAACGCGGTTCAATCAGTACGAGAGATGGTATTATCACATTAAACTACTATGAACCACAAAATTGGTGTCAGACTGTCGGTTGCTGGATGGATAGCGTGTGCTTTTCTCGGTGGAGAAAAAAGGGCGTGAATTTACACTAAAAAATTTGAAATAGTTTTTCACCCCAAAATCGAAAAAAAACTCGACACATTTGCAAGTTTAGTTAAATCTCAAGGATATTTTTACAACGCTTCCAAACGCATGCAAATCAGGACTGGGATGCAATAGTCGGCTGGCATTTACACCATTTCCAAACACAGCCTCGCTGAAGTAAAACATTTAGAATCGTATGTATTTTACAAGTCAATTGTGGGGCTGTCAATGGGTTCGGTCTACCATATAGAACTGAATTGACCAAACCTATTATAATGGTTTTGGTTCTATGGTTTTGTCCTAAATAATAATGGGATCTGGATAGGTTTTTGTTCCAAATTAATTCAGACATGCACCGATTATATAGTTAATAATATATAAAGGCCTCTATTTTTGTATTGGATTGGACCCGTTCAAATCTGAATCAATTTGGATTGGATTCGATCTGGTCCATCCGTAAAGGATTTACATTGGATTGGGTCGGTTTGAACCAACATCTGGCCCATCGATAGAAAATAAGAATATAGGTATCAATATTGGATCAGGTTTGCATTGAAACCGATCTAAATTAAAATCAATTTGAATAGATTGGATGGTCCAAACATTGAATTGGACTGGTCCAAAGTATTCATTAGATTGGAGTGGACCTGGTCCATCTCTAATGAACTCATATTTGATTGGACCAAATCCAGTCCAATTGACACCCCTATTCATAGATAGTGTATAAGATAATTTTGGTTAAGGATGCTTCTTTTATCAACATATAAACAATTTACTATTTTACTGTCATTTTTTTGAAGGTTATATCATTAAAAATAAAATTTTAAATTATTATTATCATATGTAATTATAAATTTCATGTATAATTGGGTCTAATTGGATCAGATTCGATTGCCCCGATTAAAAATTAAGACAATTCTGGTTTAGAAGACTAATAAGTGGTTTGGAACTGGTACTCCCTGTCCAAGTGACCAGAACCACGCCCGACCCATTAACAACTTTAGGCAATTTGGATTGTTTAGGCCACTTAACAACTTAGCT